GTGTAGTTACCATTTGTCACCAAACATTACTACAAGCACCTTGATTATATTCCCTAAGCTGTAATTTTCATCTCCATGACTTATTTACTTTCTAATTAGAGCTTTGTACCTCATAATCCACTTTAACTGTATCACCCATTCTTACCTACCTCCCCTCTGGCAACCACCAGTTTCTTGTCTCTGTTTAAGAGTCCATGTTTTTGGTCTTTTTTTGTATTTGTTCATTTCTTTCTTAAATGCCACATATGAATGAAATCACATGGTATTTGTTTTTGATTGACTTATTTCATTTAGCACTATACCTTCTAGGCCTACCATGTTGTTGCAAATGGCAAGATCTCATTCTTTTCTATGACTTGGTAGTATTTCTTCACACATACACACACACACACACACACACACACACACAGAAACACACCCAAACACACACACACCCCATCTTTATCTATTGACTTATCAATAGACACTTGGATTGTTCTATATCTTGGCCATTTTAGATAATGCTACAATTAACATAGTGGTGCATAAATCTTTTTAAATTAGTGTTTTTGTTTTCTTTGGGTTAGTATCCAGTAGTGGAATTACTGGATCATGTGGTATTTCTATTTTAATTTTTTGAGGAACCTCCATACTATTTTCCACAGTGGTAGTACCTGTTTGCATTCCCATCAACAGGGCACAATGGTTCCTTTTTCTTTTCATCCTCACCAATACTTGTTATTTCTTGTCTTTTTGATTCTAGTTATTCTGACAGGTGTAAGGTGATATCTCATTGTGGTTTTGATTTGAATGTCCCTAATGATTAGTGATGTTGAGCATGTTTTCATGTGTCTGCTGGCCATTTGTACTCATTCTTTGGAAAAATGTCATTAAAAATAGGAAAAATATCTATTCAGGTCCTCTGCCCATTTTTAACTGGATTATTTGCTTTTTTGGTGTTGAGTTAAAGAAGTTCTTTATATATTTTGTATATTACCCTTTTATCAGATATATCATTTACAAATGTCTATTCAATAGGTTGCCTTTTCATTTTGTCAGTGGTTTTCTTTACTGGGCAAAAGCTTTTTATTTTGGTGTAGTCTCAGTAGCTACTTTAGCTTTTGTTTCCCTTGCCTGAGGAGAATATATATATATATATATGTATGTATATATATATATAGAGAGAGAGAGAGAGAGAGAGAGAAACATTTATATATGTATAAATGTTTCCATGGCTAATGTCAAAGAAATTACTGCCTATGTGTTCTAGGATTTTTATGGTGTCAGGTCTCACCTTTAGGTTTTTAATCCATTTTGCGTTTATTTTTGTGTGTGGTATAAGAACCTACCCCAGTTTCATTCTTTTGCACGTAGGTGTCCAGTTTTCCCAGAACTATTTATTAAAGATATTATTTTTTCCTCATTGTATATTCATTAAATCTGAAATTGCTTTGGATAGTATGGACATTTTAACAATACTGGTTCTTCCAATCCATGGACATGGGATATCTTTACATTTGCTTGTGTCATCTTCAATTTCACAGTGTTTTATAGTTTGAGGGAATAGGTCTTTCACTTCCATGGTTAATTATATTTCTAGGTATTTCATCCTTTTTGTGTAATTGTAAATAGGGTTGTTTTCTTAATTTCTCTTTGCACTATTTTGTTATTAGTATATAGAAGTGTAACTGCTTTCTGTAAGTTAATTTTGTATATTGCAGCTATACTGAGTTCTTTGATCAGTTCTAGTGTTTTGGGGAGCTTGAGGGGTTTTATATGTATAGTATGTCTCCTACAGGCAGTTAACAGGTTTACTGTCCCCTTACCAATACAGACGCTTTTTATTTATTTTTCTTGTCTGATTGATCCACCTAGGACTTCCAGTACTATGTTAAGTCAAAGTGCTGGGAGTGGACATCTTTGCTTATTCTGATCTTAAAGGAAAGGCTTTCAGTTTTTTACCACTGAGTTAATATTAGCTGTGGGTTTTTCATATATAGCATTTATTATGTTGAAGTATGTACTCTCTAAATCTACTTTGCAAGACATTTTTATCATAAATGAATAGTACACTTTGTCAAATGTTTTTTTCTCCATCTCTGAGATAATGACATATTTTTCATCTTTTCTCTTGTTAATGTATCACATTGATTAATTTACAAATATTGAAGCATCCATGTATCTGTTGAATAAATCCAATTCAATTATGGTATATGAGTGCAACTTGCCAGTATCTTAGATTGTTAAAGATTTTTCATCAATGTTCATCAGAGATACTGGCCTATAGTTTCATTGTTGTTTGTAATGTACTTACCTGGTGTTGGCATCAGGATAATGTTGGCCTCATAGAATCTTGGAAGCTTTCCTTATTTTTTTTTTTATCTCTTGAAATAGTTTGAGTAGAATTCACCTGTGAAGCCATCTAGTCCTGGACATTTGTTTGTTAGGATTTTTATTTATCATTATTACTAATTCAATTTCATTGCTGGTAATTGTTTTTCTCAAATTTTCTATTTCTTCCTGGTTCAGTTTGGGAGGCTATATGCTTTTAAAGAATTTATTTGTTTCTTCTAGTTTGTCCAATTTGTTATCATACAATTTTTCATAATATTCTCTAATAGTCCTTTGTATTTTTGTCGTGTTAGTCCTCCTCCTTCATTTCTGATTTTATTTATTTGAGTCCTCTCTCTTTTTTTAATTGATGTGTCTAGCTAAAGGTTTATCAATTTTTTTTTTTATCTTTTTGGAGGACAAGGTCCTGGTTTCACTGATCTGTTTCTCCCTCTCTCTCTGTCTTTATTTCTTCTCCTACATTTATTTCCTTCCTTCTACTTCATTTGGGCTTTGTTGGTTCTTCTTTTTCTAGGTCCTTTGGGTAAGTTTAGCTTGTTTGAGATTTTTCTTACTTCTTGAGGGAGGCCTGTATTGCTATAAACTTCCCTCTTAGAACTGCTTTTGCTGCACCCCAAAGATTTTGGATCATTGTGTTTTCATTTGCATTTGTCTCCATGTATTTTTTTCAGTAAGTTATTATTAACTAATAATATCTGCATGTGTGTTTATGTGTGAAATTAACTATTTTGTCATTTTTGGTAGTCAGACATCTGGTTAAAATGAGATATCATGGCAGGGCCGGGAGTGGAACCCAGTTTGCCTACCTCCCACTCCACCCTACCTAGAGGCAGCCCAGGACCCACTATGTAGATGGAATTGACGCTGGTGAGGAAGAAATCAAAGCCATTTCCAGTGCTGTGTCCTTAGTGCTGCCTGTAAGCAGGATGAGTCTGGGAGTAGCCTTCAAAGTTCTGATGACATCTTTGTCCTGTGTAACCTTGACAAGTGTTTTCTTCTCTGTGCTTCCTGTCCACAGTATGACCATATCACACTTTAGAGACTGTCCCTGGTAAAAAAAATAAATAAATAAAAATAAAAATAAAATGAGATATCAGAGTGATTAAAGTTACAAACATGATTTGGCTTGAACTTTTGATCCTGTTTTCTGGTTGAGGATTGTGTGCTTACACAATCAAACAACAGTGTGATCATATCTGCAAATTAAAGGTCAATTAGGTGGAGAGGAAAAACGAGGGAGAAAAAATAGTCTAGTTGTCTATTCAGTATCAGGATTTCAAAATAATATATGGATGATGGATTGTTTCATCCTTATTTCCATGGCAACAAGTAGTTTTAATGATACCAAATATACCTGTGCTTTGCCTTACCTTAATTCAATAGGTTGACTTGTAGTCAGTTGTTTTTCCTACCATGTTCCTTTGTATTTGGCAAGGTGGCAGTCACCTTAAACCCTCATTGATTTGACAACTCAATGAGCACATTCTCTTCTCCTATCCATAACTGTAATCCTAAAATGATCACTTAATCCAAGTCATATCACTGAAGGTCAAAAAGCATCCATTCTATTAAAAAACTTCTCTTTGTGCTTTTAAGAAAGTAAACTCTTCTACTTGCTTACCTGGTGGTGAAGCTTCCAGAGACCACAAAGCTTGTTTAAAACTGATATTAAGGGGTGCCTGGGTGGCTCAGTGGGTTAAAGCCTTTGCCTTCAGCTCAGGTCATGATCTCAGGGTCCTGGGATCGAGTCCCACGTCAGGATCTCTGCTCAGCAGGGAGTCTGCTTCCCCCTCTCTCACTCTGCCTGCCTCTCTGCCTACTTGTGCTCTCTCTGTCTGTCAATAAATAAATAAAATCTTAAAACAACAACAATAACAACAAAAAACAGAACAAAACTGACACTAAGAAAGTCAAACAAGGCTGGAGGATATCACCTGAGCCCCAAATGCCACTGTGCCTAATGATTATGAATGCAGTCCTACTCAAGTACAAGCTGACTCCTAATCTTTTAGTATGTGAGCCAAGAAACACTTTCCTTTCAATATAATTGCGTTAGACTTACTGTCCCTCACAATTCAGAGTCCTAACTTCATGAATCCTTTGCTTTCCTTCATAGCACTTTTCGGCTGCAATTTAATTATTTATTTAATTCCAGTTTCTCTCCCTAGACTGTAGTCTCCATGTGACCAGCAGCATTTCATATATCAATAGCAGCATCCCCAATGCCTAGAACATTTCTGACCCTTAATACTGAATGACTGAATAAACAATTCAAGCCAAGTATTAAATTCCAAAAAGCTTAAGAATTTAACATTATGAAGCTCTTTTTATGTGCATGAGAGATATCTGTTGTTTCAGTATAATATTTATATGCTGAAATCCGCTTAAATTTACAAAGTATATGTAATCATTTTTATGAAGATTGCCCACGAACTTCAGTTTGTGTGATACTAAGTTCTCCTTTGCTCCTGTGTGAATTGGGCAAAGTATTTTTCTAAGCCTCAGTGAAAAGTGCACACCTCAAGGCAGGCAACCATACATAATAGCCTCTTGGTAAGTTGAATTAATATTAGTACAAAGGAACTAACCAGATAACCAGAGAGAAAAGCGAACATATATGGTCAATTCAAAACCAAAGTGCCTGAGTAGACAAAAGCAAAGGCCAGGGCTGCATAACACTGACATTTTTATTAGAATTCATTTGTAACAAATGGAACTTGTGTCAGCAAAGAACTGATTTTCATACAGACTTCTTTCGCCACCAATGTAACGAAGTAAGAAAATAAAAAGCACGCCTTTCATTCTGTAAAACATTTACGCGTACTACTAATTAGAGGTAATTGTATTTTTTTAACAAGCCATTTTACAAGTTATTTTTTTTAATTTTTCAGTCTATGCATCCAAAACGAGAGCAAAGAACACAACTGTTATTATCTTTGTAAAGACACTCCAAGCTTGAATGGCAAAGCCACATAGCAGATGGATAGGATGGATCTGTAGCCTTCTGATCTCTGCTGGAGTATCAGGGCACCCATAAACCCAAAGGAAACCAAAACCCAAAGAGGAAAAAGAAAAGGGAATTAAAAATAAAAGGAGGGGATAAAACAAAGCAAACCCAAAAATAAACAGGAAAGAAAAAAAATCTCTGTTACTGAAGAATTTTTTTCCCTTCCTGTGTCTATGTTGTGTTATTTACATACACACAAATGAATTTCTGAAGGAGTTTCTTACAGATGGGTTCAAGTAATAACATTATTGGGTGTAGAATCAATAGGGCAGTGCATAGTACAAAGGTATAGAAAGTGCAAAGTTCCCTAGAGGCCCTTCCCTCCCCTGGCTGTCCTTGCCGTTGTCTAACCATGCAAATCATTTTTAAAAAAGAGCTAAAATAAAGTTCTGTACAAATCACTTTTTATATATTTTGATTTTTTTTTTTACCATTGTAACTAATTACAAAATTATACATAACTACACGTACATAGGTAAATAATAGCACCGTACTGGTTATGATGATGAAAATAATTGGAAACTTGAAAGTTTATGGTAATGGTAGATAAAGATGTTTACCTGGGAAAATAAAACTAGAATGGTTGTACAGAAAACCACAGAGTGGAATGCACATCAATGACAGTAAAGGAGTTAGTTCTCGGAACAGCGCCTAAACAATAAGATATCTGAATAGTCTCTGCCTCGTTTATATGGTATGCATCCCATTAATTTTCTTCTTGTGATTATTTTCCTCTTTCCCTTTTCCAAATGGGCAGTTTTTAGAGAAACTGCTCATTGGCCAGTTATTCTGGTGTGTAATATACACCATCCAATTCTACATGTCTAACATGGCATGTCTGCAAGTCTGTCTGACCCCCTTTGTTTCACTAAATGAAAATCACAGCACTCAGTAACCTGGCACTTGGATAAATCTCCAAAAGATACAAATGAAAAGAAAACAACAGAGCCACATAGTGCACATTCTTCTCTGGTTCTGATGTAGGTTAGAGAATCTCATTCTGAGGTAGCCTTCTAGATACTTTTTTTTTTTTTTTTTAGCATTCTTTTTTCTTTTTTTTTTCTTTTTTTTAATTTAATTTTATTTTATTTTTTACAAAAGTGTTCAAATATGATGCTTGCAAGTGTTTGGTCTCTTGGATTTCATTCTGCTAGTGATGGTAAAATGTGGAAAACAAAAATCCTTGTATGGTGAACACCAATGAAGCTAAAATTAAACTAAAATATTATATCAATACCAAAACTCTTTAAGAGTTCCTTGGATATTTTGAGGGTTCTTTAAAATCATATAGGATATGGCAAACTCATGCCATTTCCCATGGTTTCCTACAGCAATTATGTTGGAAAATTTGAGATTATGTTGGCAAATAGATATTTTTTTAATTTCCCCTTTTAAAAAAATCCTAACGGATTAGTAAATATATTCCAACGTTGACAATGATATTTGTCACTAAAGTAAGTTTTGTGCAGTTATTGAATGCTCCAGAACAGATTTGGAAGGGATTCTAAATAAAAGAAATAGCTTTTCCTGATGTTGGCAACCATGAAAGGAAGGGCCCTGATTATCCAAGTGCTTTGGGCTGGTACAATCACTAACATCCCCGACTTAGTTGAAAACTAGGAATGCATATTATTCAAAGAGTTTTTGTACATGTGGTAAACATATAATGCTTTAATTGGAAGAGAAACATAAATGAACAACTAATGAAAATATGAACCAAAAGCTAAAAAGAAATGCTATTAAAATAGGCATCAATTATAAGGCACTCTAAATGCATAACTAAAACCAAAAGAAAACAAAGTACAGCACTTCCCAGTTGTGCTGTATGCCACAAAATGTTTCTGACTGAACAGAGTAACATGAGTTTGGCTTTGCCCCTGTTACATATCATAAATGCAAATTTCATAGCACATATTATAGACAATATACGATTGAATACATTGTTTTTTAAACAACTTGATAGCTGATATATTACAACATTCTCCCCTCCTAAAGGGATATGCACTGACCTTTCCCACATGCACACCTCTTAGATATTTAATAATTTTTTTATTGCACTAGAGTGTTAGAAATATTGAACTTTGTTGGAAGCCTGGCTAAAAAAATGATATTTGTAAATATGAGTAGGTGGGCGGGAGGATACTGGATAGGAAATTAGGGGGTGAGGCTTGACAATCACTGATGTGCATTCCTCATTTCCCTTAAAATTAAAATTTTATGGTATTAAGAAATACCCATATGTCATAAAATTAATAACAAATTGAAAAAGATGTTTGTAATAGCTTCTCTATCTAAAAACAACAACAACAAGAAAGACCAACTAAAAAAACCCCAAAACGAATTCATGGAATAACTGAATGATAGCTATATCTATCTTTTTGTGTGGACACACTGTCTATATATACATAGACACCCCTGTAAAATATGGATATATATGTATATATGTTAGCAGCAACTTTATACTTTGCGCCTCCCTGTTGATTCCAAAAACAAAACAAACAAAACAAAGTTCTCTTTGACTATTTGAAGAGAATGGGTACTTTCTCACCAACCAAAACTGAACAGAAATGTAAAAGTAATATCTGACAAGACATATACTGTAGATTAAGAATATTGCACAAAAATGTGCAAATTTTCAAATTATTTGATATTTCTACAGCAAGATATTACAGATAACAGTTCTACAGCTTAAAAAAACCTACAATTTTGAAATAAAAAATGAAGAGTTATGTAACTTTTTTAAAATTCACTTTATCGAATGATACATTTGTTAAAAAAAAGTTTACACAGTTAAAAATGAAGCACAGGTCAGCAGTATCTTTACAATACTAAAAAACTAAATCAAGGACTTTCCTTTTAAACATTTCCCCCCCGATCCCTCCCTAAAATGTTATTATGAGCAGTATGGTGGGAAGGGGCGATGTCGCAGCAGAGTCCATTTTGTCACGAGAAGCCGCACCAGCAAACATCTTGCACTGATGGTGGTTCTTTGCTGTGATTTCTTCTTCCCTTTATTTTGAATCCTTGAGGTATCTGTAAAAATCCTTCAGATGCCTCATCAGTTAGGATTCTCTTTATTATTTTTCAGGTTAGATTATTAAACTGTGAATTCTTGGTCCACCCAGAAGAGTTTGTTTTTATTTTGTTTTGTGTGTAATAGTCCCACTAAGTGGTAGTTAGCTAGAAGTTAAGAAGGACTTCTCAAGTGCCCTGTATGGCTCAGAAGAGACTCCGTGGATACTGAAGGGCCTGCAGTAAGAACCCAAAGTGGGTTAGGGGTTTCTACGTTGCATAGTGATCAAAGCTGCCCAGGTACTCCAGTGCGGCTCGGTAGCAGAACTGGTACTGGTCCTGCAGGAGACCAATCATGGGAAGAAAGAGGAAAAGGGGCCATGAGTCCACTTTAGTAGAAAGATGAAAATCAATATTCAAAAACAAACATTACATCTGGATGGGGGCAAAATCACTACTCTCATCAATTAAGTCAATCCAATGACCAATCCATTTTATTGAGCCAAGAATGATAAGCCGCATGGGGTGTTTGTTAACTTCACCCATCAATTTGCCTAGAACCATCTCCTCATTTCAAAGTAGTAACAGCCGGAATGAACATTATCTTCCAGACAAGTGTGAGCTGTTCTCCAAGTAGTACCAAATAATTACCACCCCTGAGCATGGGAGCATATCACTGTTGTCTTTTACAACTATGTGAATATTTGTGAGAAACTTATCCTCCGTTTGCATATTAAAGAGAGGCTGATCCAGACACTGGCTGTTCCAAGGAAAACCTGGATTCATTTATCTTCTGGGCTATTGCCAAAAGAATTTGAATAAAAAAGGATCTTATCAGATAGTAGACCTGACCAACCTACTATCAGAATTACCCAATTACCCAATCAGAATTACAGCAATCAGATGTCGCTATTCAAGTAAGGGTGAGGAACCGTAGGTACATAAAGCCACTTACAAAGGGCTCTGGACTTTCAAGCTTTTCATCCCCTAGAAATGGCATCCCAAGACTGGCCGTCTACATCAAAAAATGCCCATGTCATTTGGCCTAATTCATTGTGATTGCTAGTCATCTGTTCTAGAAAGGCCCATATTAAAATAACTTGACATATGCCCTTTTTCAGACAGGGGAGAACATTATCTTACTGGAATAAGTTGGGCATTGTTGGAGAGATAGAAGAAAAAAAATAGAATTTTTGCCATAAAAGAAACATTTTCAATAGCCAATGGGGCTGAAAGTAGATAGTTTCTATTTTGCTTAAATGTGCATTTTTTTTTTTTACAATAAAAATGGTAATGCAAAATAAATGGAGTTTGCTTTCCTATGTTGTCACAGTAAGCTGCTTGGCTAAGTGTTAAGAGTTTTTAAATGTCCAATTTCCCTATGCCACCCCCAGCACCCATTAAGTTTGTCAGGCTGACATCATGCTTTGAGTATTATAAGCCAAATGCTTTTGCTATTTTGAAATCACAGTTTGGAAGGTATCATGTGCAATGAATTTAGGAATACATACAGAATGTAGAATTTGGTGGCCTTTCGAGGAACAGAAATACTCATATTATCCTTAGAAATGAACAATCTAATAGGGAAGACTAGCTATATCACAAATTCATATTATTCTAAAAAAAATGAGAATTCCATTATCAGTTATTGGAGTAGAAAATGGGGTATTAATTTCTCTAGTGGTTATCCAGGATCCAAATATTTAAAATGACCATTGGAGAATGGAGAAGTAAAATGTGCTGAGGGTCTATTATGTACCAGGCAATGTGCTTCTTAAAGTTGTCAAATAGTGATAATTTTTCACGGTTCAACCTACTATATAATCTAACATGACTTCAAAACAACTGCAAGACTTTGAAATTGTCACTCCCGTATATAGAGAGGAAAAAATGAGGTTCAAAATATTGAACAATTTGATTGTTTTCCCACAGGAATTTCCCCTATTTTGCTCTGGTGTTGAGAGTCTCTGGGCCCTAAGAGGTCCTGGTTAATAAACTCTATTATTTGGTTCATGAGATGTTTTAAACTCATGGAGATTTTTCTCACCTCTGTCTGTACCATGGCTGGTCGTTGTGTTCTTAACATTTTGACAGTCTGGAAGATATCTACAACTCCTTCATATCTCATTCTTTCCAAAACAATGCTTAGTGTTATGAAGACTCCAGTTCTTCCAACGCCCGCACTGCCATAATAACAAAGACAGTGTTACTGGATGTGACACTCATAGTCTTGACCACATTCACTTGGAAGTAGACATATGTGCACCCACTTCCATATTACACCAGGTTCTTTTACAGCAATATTCAGGAAAATGTGGTATTGGGTTCATGAAATTACTATTATTGGAATAATGTGTCGTGGTAAAATGTGAGCATGAATGTGCAGTAATGAAGATTAACTCCAATACAGTAGAATGACTTTTCAACTGGGATTATACCCCATTTTGGAAAGATGCCAGAAACATAAATATTGCAAAATCAATAGATACAGGGAAAGGTAAATAAAGTATAGGTTAGTACTCTTCATGCAGATCCTGCAATTGTAGACCTTGTCTGCTTATTATTTTTCAAGTATGGAATAATTCAGATAAGGGGAGATTAACTCAGTCTCTTCAAGTTTTCTAGTATATTATTTACTTCTTGTGGTCACAATCTATGCAGGATGTTTCATCACTAGACATATAAATAAATAAGGCGTTTATACTATTCAGATTGAGATGTCCATTTTGATATGAGAAAACAGATTCTGTTCTGGGTTTTTGATCTGTGATCCTTATTCAGTCTTTAGAAGAGTTTGTGAATATCTTATACTGAGAAGCTGTGTAAATGTATATACATTTGTCCTCTCTCCTGAAACTGAGGACTTTAACAGATTCTCAAAGAGGTCTCTAACTTTAAAAAAAAAAAAAAAAAAAAAAAAAGGTTGAGCTTCACTGAGTTTATCTACTACTTTTAGATGTTCAGCAGCTAAAACACCAGGATTCTTTCTACCATGTTAGCAAGGTTTTGAGTTTGTTTTCTTTATTGTTTTAAGATAATTCCAGAATGTTCACTGCAGCAAGAGGAGAAAATTAACTCATAGCTTTTGTGCTCTTAAAAAGTAGGGAAGCATCTGGAGGTTTAGGTAATGAGGAGAAGAGTGAATAATCTGAAAAATCCTACATTTTTGGATCCTAATTACATGGCATGTGTAACGCTTGGGTACAGGCTGTAGAAAATGGATGGATTCATTTATTTGTGGATGTAGCTGACAGGCATATATAAATAGTGTGTCCCTTTACAAACTGGTTTTCTTTGTTTTGCTTTTTTTTTTTAAGATTTTATTTATTTATTTGACAGAGAGAGTAAGAGAGCATAGCAGGGAAGCAGTGGAAGGAAGGGGAGAAGGCGGCTCCCCACTGAGCAGGCCGGGAGGCCGATTCCCAGCTCCATCCCAGGACCTAGGGATCATGACCTGAGCTGAAGGCAAACGCTTAACCATCTGAGCCACTCAGGAGCCCCTCAAACTGGGTTTTCTAAAGAGTCCAAACCAAAATGTAAAATGAGACTTTAAAATCCAGTGGTAGTCTTTACACTGTGGCTAAGGATGTCCAGGAGCAGTGAAGGCTCCCTGTTAAGATAGAGTAGATGACCTTGAAGGTCCCTTTCAACCTTGAAAGTCTCTCTTACTCCTAAGAGGCTGTGATTTATGATCCTTTCCCCGCCCCCTCCTTTCTGAATGGCCTAGGCATTTCAGAGTCTATTTAATAGGATATAGTTAAACTCCATATACTAAAGGAATATTTAAATCATTCTGTGACAGCAAAAGCAATGAGAAGTAACACACATTTATACAGTTATGGTAATGTCTAAAGTTAAACATATATATTAAATATATTATTTTTTATAGTTTATGCTAGAAAATTGTGAATTAGCATTTGGGCAAATTATGTGGAAAGTGAAGGAGAATATCCAGGTAATTTTAGTCCAGTCTATACCATCTACTTTGTCTGAATATTTGAGTCCATATGTTGTTCCCTACATGATCTTTGGTTGTCTAGAGTAACCAAACTCAACACAAAGCAAATGTGAATAAAGAAAGTCTGCTGCTCATTAGAATATATCATCCCTGGGGAACATCATGCCCTCAAAAAGATCTTAGAGAGATTCTATGATTCTGTCATAGAGCTACATGATGACAGAAGTGAGGTTAGAATTCAGCTATCTTAAAGCCTGAGTTGAATGTTTCTTCCATTTTGAGAGCTTGTCTCCCCTTTCACTAAGAATCATAGTTTGTAATCTTTCTCTTTCTCTTTTTCTTTTTCCTCCCTCCCTTCTTTCCTTCTTTTTCTTTTCTTGAAGCAAACTGTTGAACTATCTCAAGATTTTGACCACAAAGAGAGTAGAAACAGACTTCAAATTGCTAGAATCTGAAAATTTATTAGTGTAAAAAAAAATTAGGTGAATTCCTTTTGCTGGAAGGTTTCTGCCTAACAACTTCCCAAAGCACTAAATTTATGGTGAGTGTCCTTTCTGAACCGTTTACTTGCTATTTCTATTAACTTCGATGACTTGAATTATAAAATGCCGTGGAAACTATTGAAAATAATTAACTTGAAGGTTCTTCATTTTCTGATATAGCAACAATTTTCAGGCAAATTGCAATTTTGACAGAGGTACCATTCTAATCATTTACTGACTGGCAAGAATTAGTATTGTCATTAAGGCTGGATAACTATTTATGTTTTCCTAAAAAGACAAACACAGGAGATAGATACAGAAAGACAGTTATGAGTGTAATGCCATGGAAACAAAACAAGTAAGACATGATTAACTGAACAAATTTTCACCAGCAGATGTACCAACAATTCCTATTCAGGTAAACTAGGCAGTTTGGTGTTTTTTACAAGAAGTAAAATTTGGGGATAAAAATTTTACCCCTGGTTATTTTCATTTTATGGAAAGAAAGAGAAATGAGTCCTTGCTTAAGATTTTACAATGTATTTCTGAGAATAAAATATCAATTATGCAGATTCACTCCAATTAGCAAATGCTGACAATGAACAGACAACAATGCACATTATCAAAGTTATTAGCACATTAATCACAAATGGAAACTCATCATTCTTCATTCTTCACTCACCTGCAATGGACTGAAATGGGCCCATCTTGGCCAAACTGCTCTTTTGTTTTATGAACTTGGCCAATGAAGTCAATAAATCCTTCTCCAGACTTTGGCACTCCTTGTTCTGGCCAGTCAGTGAACTGGAACTGCCTCACTGTTCGGGACTGACCGTCCTTCAGAGAGAAAGCCACATACCCAGCCACAAAGGAGGATACCCGGAAGATTCAGCCAGTGTACAGACCACAGCAGCAAAAGTGATTTTTTTTTTCCAGAAAGAAGAAAAAGTGGGGGTGGGGTGGGGTAAGAAAAAGTTAGAATCATGTTTAACTAGAAAGTTAGCAACACGTGCGTCTTATCTGTTATTAACACTGTTTACAGTCACATATATTTAAATTGCAAATTCATTCTGGCAATGCCCAAGTAAAAACCTGGGTTCTTGAAGAGTCATGCAGTTACCATAATAGTAAATGCTTCTGAGACCCAAAATTTGCTTTCAAAACCAAAGTGGACCACTATACTCTATTTCAAAAATTTTAGAAATCAATTAACTTAATATTGAAAACAGCATCCAGGCATGTCATCCAGACCAGAGATTTTGTTATTGTCACAATAACTTCACATCTGCTGTGCTTGCTTTTTTCTAGCACTGTCAAGTGACAAATAGTGACACTGAAAGGATCTGACACAAACTGGGTAGCTGTTAACCTGGATGCCCCACATGTCTCAGAGGCATACAATTTCTAGCTGTAGCAGTGCACACAGAATGTGCTATGCTACTATGCTGTTGAGTAAGAAGTGAGGCGTCCCTCAAGGAAAGGAAAGAGATTATTAGCAAATAAACACTTTATTCTGAAAAAGAGGACTCTTCTGGCTGACCACAGGAATTAAGGCACTCATGGGTGGGCTTTAACAGGTAGACCAAACAGTGGAAAGAAAACAAGCTGGATAGAAGAGGAGTCTTTTCTAAAGTGATTAGGCAAAAGTGCTCGGACTCATGAAGTATAAATGGTTTGAGAAGGAGCTACTAATATGCTTCTGATTCCTTCTAGAACAGTGTTTTCATAAGCACAACAAAAGCAGAAGGGACCCTCTGTTTCCAGAAATAAGAATAACAATTATGCCCACCAACTTTCTTCTCTGAATCCACTGAGAGGAAAAGAATTCAAATTCCAAGCTTGGAAAGACCAATCCTATTTGAAGAGGCCCTGCTCCCAGTTAAGACTCCCATTTGTTTTTCCTTTCCACTTTTGTAACACCTCTTTCCCTTTTAAAGGCCTTTTGGATATGTGTGTGCATGTTCCCCAGTAGACAAAGACCCAATTTTTCCCATTCAGTCATATTGAGAGGTAGGGATGGCTTAGCTCGAGGTGGGCACATATCAACTGGCCTTGTGGTTTCCACAGGAACAGTGCATATTCCTGACAGCATCATTTGATAAAGCAGGAAGATCACATTAAGTTTGTGAGAACACTCAGAAATATGAAAATAACTGCTTGATCCCATTATTAACTTATGGATGGTTACCATGGAAACATGATTTACTTCCCTCTGTTTCTGGAAAAGGTTTGGAAAGCACAAGGAGGAAACCAAAGGCTGGGTAAACAGATTTGTCCTCCTCCAAATACCCCAGAGATTTCATTTCTGACCACAGTTGTATTTAGCAGCAATAAGAGGTCATGTGCACAAACCCTTCCTATTTAGAGGAGAGACCGGCTGACACCATTTAAAGGTTACCTGTTTAACAAAACTGCGTTCTAAGTGCCAACTTGGAACTGGAAAGTTCAGATTAGAAACACACTAGGAACACAAACAGCAAATGCGATGGCAGCTAGGAAAATTATAAAAGTCACAGGGGGCCTTTTTTAAATAGAATGTGAACAGGTTCTTACTTCAATATTTCTTTTGATTTTGGGGATCAGATTTTAATTTGGGCAAGTGAGGAGTAGTAAAGAAGGTGTGTCTGCTATTTGCGGGACCTGGACCCTAGTCTGTATCATCAGAAATGGTTGGTGAGTTTGCTTGGAATGTACTGAAGATTTTTCACTCATATATCTATCTTCAAATTCTGAAAGGACACTTCTTTTTTTTTTTTTTTTTTTTTAAACAATGGGATGGGTCACAAAGGCATGCCTACTTGGGCAACTCAAAAAACGAGCCCGACAGACTTAACTGCTACCTTGAGTACGGTCACCTTCAGAGTAGTTAAGATCTCAGACTTCCTGGGATTAACAGATCTATCACCTGGGCCAACCAGCCTGCTGACCATTTTCTCTTTCACTTTAGGGCAACAGCCAGGGCATGGTTTTGGGGATTAGCAGACAATCTCTAAACATGTGTATTGGTTGGAAAAGCTCCTTTCCAGAAAAAAACAATGGATCAAGTAAAAAGCTCTGTCCTGGAGTTTTATTCAACCCACCTACTGTGACAGTTCCAAAAACAAAGCAGGGCTTTGACTGACCCCACTCTCTCCTAAGATGTGTTTGTAATCATGGTTTGAAAGTGGCCAAAGGCAAGGATATTAAAGTTTATGCATAGAACATCTTACATCAGGGCTGAACCTTGGACTCAGCAATCTAGATAAGAAATGCAGAATGAAAATTAGCCAACAAGGGTCATGGGTGCACAGCTCTCATGGACAGACACATTAGCACACTGAGGAATAAACCATGCCAGGAATCAAATTAGAATGTGCAAAGCTTGTCAGAGTCTTCTAAAGAATGCCATTTGCTCGGCAGTTTTAAAATCATACCAAATTAACCTCCAAGCCCACATGACCTAAAGGGCTTTGCAAAACAACAACATATTTACAGCCTCAAGTAATGAAGAAGTCAAAAAGCAACAAAGAGAATGAGCTGAGAAAGTGAATGTAAGCATAGCCAACCAATCAGTAAATGCTTCCCAGGACACACACTTACCAAGTATATCCCCAAAGTTGGGCTGCCAGATGTTATGTTTGAATGGAAGCCAACCCTGGGTTTGTGAGAACACTTGCCAGACAGAGGAAAAGTTACTCTTACATTAAAAAACAAAACAGTCCTCCAAGATCAGTTATTTCTTTTCACTTTGGCAATATGATCACTTGGTAAATATTTCTCCCAAAGCTTTTCAGCTAATGGTTAAGAACTTAAGATTGGTCAGCTTACCCTGGCATCTGTGACCTTGAATTCTCTTAGGATATACTGTGGCATGTTGTACTCAGCCATGGGATCTACAACAAAGTACTGGTATCTTGCAGATCGTTCTGCTGGCCAGTATTGGTGACATTTCTCCTAAAAGGAGAGAAGATTAATGTCAAACTATATAAACTACCAATAAATTTTTATCTGTCATCTATCAATCTATATATTTAATTTCTTTCTCTCAATGAAAGTTCAAAATTCAAGGCCATTCCAATTACATGTGACACAATTTTCTCTTTGAAACCAAAAAGTTCCTTGAGAATAGGAAAATCATATGGTTTAATATTTGCTTATGGCATCAAGCACAGTACTTACACACAGTAGCTTATTAATACACATCAATTGAATTAAATGCTTTGATAGGGCACGTGTCTTCATACCTACAAGTTCTCCAAATACTAACATTGGTCCTTGGATATAATGCTGGCCCTATCAATCATGTATTGCACTACCAGAGCAGACTTGCATCACTGTGTTATGGAATGAATAGGACCATCAAGTGTGAATGCATAAGGAAACCTCTATATTGATCTGGTCCACTCTCCCTTGTCAGCTGAGGAAACTGGAGCCCAAGAAGTATTAATGATCTGGCTAAAGCAGAGAATCAACTATGAATATTCAGAATAGTCAGGTTACTTTCCTAGTTTGGCATTTGTTGCTGTCTTTATTCACTTTAAATGAGGAGCTTTAGACCCATTTCCACATTTATGCAAGGAAGAGAGAAAGAAAATATCTTAAACCAATAGAATAAAATGCTTACATCTATTGAATCTAAGTGGTAAGTCCTTAGGTATCTCTAATACTATTTTATGTATTTTTCAGAATAATCACTTTCAAAAAGTAGATCTGAGATGACCAGATTATATTCTTGGAAAAACTATGTAACTTTCTAACACACTATCCAATATGGGGTGGAGGGTGGGCAGGTAAGAATTTGCTTCATGAGTGAAAGAAAGTCAAGTTTCTTCACACAGAGAAATGATGAGACATTTGCTCATGAAACTCCAGCTTGTCCAGGGTGGAAGGAAAAAAGATTATGCTGAGAGTTGGGACCGATGTCAAACAGGGACATCTGCTTCTTTGCTCCTATGATCGTGTCGCACTGGAAACAAAATACCAGCTCTTTCTTCAAAACGCACAAATTAATGAACTTGATGTGGCTTTGCAAGTTAAAAACCAACAAAAGAGTAATGAATGGTCCATAAGGTGTCTGGAGAACTCTACATTTCTAAGAAGTGATGCTGGCCCCTAGGTTATTAAGACTAAATCATCATTTCTTCATGGAGTAAATGTCTTATGAGAAGACACTTACTCTGCCCATCTCACGCAGCTTGGTGAGCATCACAACAATGGTGGAATTGTGTTCCCAGAGCATCCGCCAGAAATCTTCGGTGGTCTCTGCCAAGGGGCCCTGGGTAGCGATGTAGGCTTTCTGTTGTCTGTATTACAGAGAATAAAAGTAGCATGTTAAAATAATCAGAGAACACGCAAAGGTTCACATTTGGTACATAAACATCACCCAGTAATGAAAACTAAAAACATATTATCAGGGCAATTACAGTAAATGTCCATTAAGATTGTGTAAACAAATGAGAATATTTACATTTTGGGGGCTCTGCAAAAGGAATTGCTTTGTTAATATTATGATGTATGTCTTTATCATTATTATTTAAATTTTAGTGCAACCCTAATAGCTCAGTTTCATATATCATACAAGTCACTTAAGAAACAGTGGTATGGTTTAATTTTATAGATATGACTTTACACAATCTATTAAAATTATGAAATACGGTGTAAAACAGCTTCTTCATTAAGACCTTCCATAACCCAATGATTTCTTTTTATTTTTAAGATTTTATTTATTTATTTGACAGACAGAGATCACAAGTGCGCAGAGAGACAGGTAGAGAAAAAGAGGGGGAAGCAGGCTCGCCACTGAGCAGAGAGCCTGATGTGGGACTTGATCTCAGGACCCTAAGATCATGACCTGAGCCAAAGGCAGAGGCTTTAACCTACTGAGCCACACAGGTGCCCCTGTAACCCATTGATTTCTGAAGGAAGAGTGCAAAAGGCCAGATTAAAGATTCCATGACTGCTTCTTACTCCTACCAAAAATAATAAAAAAACAAAGGGTCTGAATGCTGACCTATGCAGAAAAAAGATGCTTTGAATTGAGATGAAATTCATTCTGGCTGTGAAACTAGGGCACATGTAAATATCAAGGCTTTGGACTGTCAGGGGAGCAAGAGTATATACCTGTATCCATCAATAAAACTGGCATTGATGTAATCAGATCCTTCTACCCCTCTGATAGGCTGCAGGCATACCCTCGTAGATTCATATGGCATAATATTAACAAGGCGATTTTTGAATTTATTACATGGAAGATTGGCACTGATGAATCTTGAGGTGTGAGCTTTAGAGCTGGCTAGACGCTGTTGAATAAAACAAAAGAAAAAAATCTGACAAAGATAATTTTAGCCTATGGTCAGATGCAACGTATTCAAGATTTCCTCTTTAGATATAAAGCTTATGTTTAAAGCAAAGGACTCTTCAAATTGCATTGCTTTTCACTTCTACCTAATGATTCCATATAGTTTACCAAATTTTTAAATACGTTCTGAGAGTAGGATCTCTCAATTTAAATTATGGTACAATACGAGGTATTGTTAGGAAGCAAAGAACAGAAAAGGGAAAGAGGAAGAAAGTGTTTTATAGTCAGACACTTGAGAAGGTCAAGTGAATCTTGTAACTTCAGAATTTGAAAGGTTAAGAAAGTGAAGCCACAACTCAAAGACAATCCCAGAATGACTTGCTCCTGAATTACCACATCACATCCAATATCATACCTTAAATTCAAGCTCCATTCCTGTGACATTCTCTCCTGCTTCTATTTGTGTCAGCTTCTGAATGTAGGCATACAAGTTTCTAGCTGGCACTTCGGTATTTCCACAAGTCACTGCTTCTAACAGTGCATCATGGATAAAGATGTATTGGTCTTCTGTTTGAACCATGTAATTCCTCTGGGCTCTCATTAAAGTTACATGGCCATAAATATCTACAGTTTTTTCATGCTTTATTCTTTCTAACATGGCATCTATTACGATGAAACAACCAGTCCGGCCAACTCCCGCACTACAAGAAAAACAAAGAGAAAAGAGAAGTCCAAATAAATCTATCAGAACACCAAAACATAAAAAATTATTTCAATTCTCACTAAGCGGGTTTTAAACCCATTAATTCTTTTCAACTATCTGTTGGGATTATTTTGGAGCACTCTAAAGTAAAAAGTATTACCAAGTCACTATAACCAGAAGATAGGGAATCAAATACCAAGTAAAATTAATTTGGTTTCAAAACATAAAAAATTAAATCCAAAAATACTGTGGTCCATGATCATATAATACAAAGTAGACATTATTTTGAAACTGTTAAAAAACACAAACACTTAAGTTGTTTATATTAGAAGATATTTTAAAAATTGGTTAAGATCTAATTAGGCTTTATCTTTTTGTAAAACTTCTCCATCTATTTCACTTCAATTTGTGAAATAAAAATTAGAAAATCACTCAATCTGAAACAGTTCATATTCTAAAACCCAGCAAGGAAGTTTTAAAATCAACTTAGTGGGAAATAGATAATTAAAATATTAAAATGTTACACACTGAAAAAGGTGCAGGGTATTTACAATGAAAATAAATTCCTACTAAAAATATAATCACTAAAGAGTAGGTGTGCTTTTTGTTTTTACTCTCTTCTCCTCCAGAGTCGAATGTATTTTGAAATTCCAGGTGAAATTCAAGTATTCTGTGTGGGAAAATAAAAACCTTAGTCTTTGTTACTGAAGATCCTCTGAGGTATTTTTTAAACTCCATTACTTTGGGACTTATGGATCATTTTCCAGTTGGTGGAAACCAATTCAAAGACGAAAAGGTGAGAGAGTGAGCAAAACCCAAAGACAAGATCTGCTGGTCCAAGGAGACAATCTAATTTACTGAACTGGATTAGAGAGTCAGATGGTTGAAAAATTGGAATTTCCTCAAGTGTTGAAAAGAATACTGGCAAAATAAAACATCTGTTTTCTTAAATCTCTATGTAAGCCTTGTTTGTCTCTTATCAAACTCTTTAGAGTGAGTCTGTTTATGTCTCAAGTATGGTTGAATCCAACATATTTTTCTCGTCTTTTTTTTTTTTTTAAGATTTTATTTATTTATCTGACAGAGATCACAAGCAAGCAGAGAGGCAGGCAGAGGGAGAGGGAGGGAAGCAGGTTCCCTAGTGAGCAGGGAGCCCGATGCGGGCCTTGATCTCAGGACCCTGAGATCATGACCTGAGCTGAAGGCAGAGGCTTTAACCCACTGAGCCACCCAGGCACCCTATTTTTCTCCTCTTGATCATGGATATTTACCTGGCTGGGAAACATGTAATCAACAGGAATAGGTATCCATCACCACCACAGACACTAAGCAACAGACAGTCTCCTTCATTAGCTACATGCCACTGTTTCCTGTCATTTCTGTATCTATGTGGTTATTTATTTATCCATCTGTCCACTGACACGTCCTTCTCTCTCTCTCTCTCTCTCTCTCTCTCTCTTTTTTTAGAATTTATTTATTTATTTGACAGACAGAGATCACAAGTAGGCAGAGAGGCAGGCATAGAGAGAGGAGGAAGCAGGCTCCCTGCCGAGCAGAGAGCCCAATGCGGGGCTCAATCCCAGGACCCTGGGATCATGACCTGAGCCGAAAGCAGAGGCTTTAATCCACTGAGCCACCCAGGCACCCTGTCCTTCTCTTTATTCAATGAACGGCACTTTGTTAAGTAGCATAGGGAATACAACATTAACGATGACTTACATCATGCCTTTAAGAGCTTAGCATCTGTCAGTGAAATAAAAGGTTACTTAACCATTTATACTAAAAGACAAAAAAGAGAGAAAGAGAGAGAGAGACTAAGGAGGTGTCAGTTCTGTGGATGATGTGGCATTTGAACCACGACTTGGGAGGGTAGGAAGGACGGGGCAACTGAGGAGGCTAGAATAGCAAAAGAGAAACAATGGCTTTTGCAGTCAGACTGTTGGCTTTGGGAGTTACATGAGAAACTTTCCATTGGCTTAGTGAGGCACTTGAACAAGGAATGTACCAGAAGTCCAAATGAATGCGTTTAGTGAGCACTAGGGTGCCTGACACAACTGAAGTGGCAATTTCTCTAGTGCCAAGTGTCCACAAGGTGGTTAAATAAGCATTTTGTAACAAATAATACCTTCATTTAACTACTGAGCAGTACAGATCAAATCTAGCTTCCACAAAGTGACATGCCATTGAGATGGAATGCAAAAGCCCATTGAGACAGTCTTTGAAGTGACAGAACTATTTGTTAGCACACGATTAGAGAGGTCCACAAAGTCCCATTTTATCTAGTTTGTTCTACTAATAAACCTATGAGAGGGCAAATTTTTCCTGTCATTCTCCATCCCCCTACTTCCTCCCCTGCCCCAGGCAGGATTAATCATCCTCTGTTCCTGATCACTTAAGTACAGTGTCAAATATCACCCCAGTACAGTCTCAGTTACATCACATTATTAATTAACCTGGTGGGTCTGCCATCCACAAATCATGGTGCGTTACAGAAACTATATTTTCTATTGCCTTTGTGTGCCTTGCACCAAGCATGCAGTCGGTGCTCAATAATGTTTGTAAAATAAAAAAATAAGTCAGGATTGGCATCAGAGCTCTTATGCAATGAGCAGCCATCCATGTTCAGTAAGCCCACTGAGGAAGCAGGACTCTTCAGTTAGTGAAAGAAATCCCACATTTGACAAAAAGCTCAGAACTGTGCAGAGAATGCCTGAAGACTGCTCCACAGTGCTGGGTTGGGAGACCAGAAAATGCTTTGAGTGGCCTCCATGTCTTGGTCTTCTGATCTGCTATCACAGTGCAATTAAAAGAAAGAGTAAGACAATCTGGAGAACGGAGGTAACCTCCTACAATGAGGAGGTTCTAAGACTATGAGTAATACCTTTTTCTCCTTTTCTATATTGTTTTTCTTAGTTGTTTTCATCCTAATTGTGCATTGTTTCTAACTGGATACAGCTTCATGCAGTTCTTTATAGTGGAAACCATTCCATAAGCCTTATAACTGAGCCCTAAATATTAAGTCAGTTCTAGATAATGGCAGGATATTTCCCCAAAATACACATCAAGGACCACTCTCAAATGTCTGGATGATGCATAGATTTATATTCAGAGAGAAAGATATCACAGAATCTTGGAAAATTAATAGGAATGACTAGTTTCAAACAGTAGCAACCTCTTCATGGTGGTAATGAGAGAAAAAAAAAATATATGTCTGAGTCTAAATTACAAACTGTGGAGAGAAAAGAAAGAAGATAGGGTATGCCTTAAGCAAAACCCATTTTTTTCTCCCCAAAATTCAAAATACTATTAACTGTCCAATCTTATATGTAAGATAAGGAAGGAGCTGACCCTTTTAACTAATGCGTTACCTCTTCTTTAGGAGGAAGAGTTCTTAGGAGTTTTAAATATTAGAGGTGTCTCTTAGCTTGAAGTAAAAAGGTACTTTTTCCAGATATCAACAGCTGGGGGCATTTGAGAAAAATCACTTTTAACTTCTTCCTTGCTTTCCCGTTTTTCTTAAATCACAATAGTCTTTAAGTCTTAAGGCTTAAGGCTGAATTAACCATACAGAGTGTTTTCCAAACATAGAGGAAGAAACAGTTACTTTGTAGGTACAAACTGCATTTTAAAATTATACCTCTGAAGCTGACAAAAGGCATAGGTAGTGTTGATGCTGAGAAAATTATGATAAAATCACTGCAGGATTGTTTGAGATTAGGCTTTCAAAATCTTGCTTTAATCTACCCCCTCAAGCTGTTCTCCCCTCTATCCTCCTATTTCCAATAAATAATACGTTACACTGGAATAACTTTCTGCTTTCCCATATATTGTCATGGTAAACGAGATGGCAGTAAAGCTCCTTCCCACCATAGTGCTTGGTTCCCGGGAGGCATTCAGCAAAGGTCTATCAGTTCCCTTTTCCCTTCTATGATTTATAACATTTGGAAGCTGCCCTCCAGTCCTCTACCTAATGGTAAATGGCCAAAAAGGGACTCAAATGGAGGCTGTGCAGTGCTAAACGTTAGTACCACATTCCATGGCACTATCTTTGCTTCCTATTATTTTCTGCCAGTTGGATCAGAAAAAAAAGAAAAAGAAAAAGAAAAGAAAAGAAAACAAAACAAAACAGAAAAACACCTTTCTTGTGGCCCACCCCTCTAGAACACCCTTTTAGCAGTGTTCAATAATCCTGAATGCAAGTTCCTTGAAAAGCTTTTTTTTTCCCTTGGTTTCTGTGCCACTGAATATGGGATACAACAGATACTTCCCTTGTGGTCGAAAGTAGGGAAATAGGGACCTTCAGTACAAAACCATGCGGAACATGCAGCCTGTGAATTGAGCCAAGAGGGACTGTGATTCACCTGGAATGGTTCCATTGACTCCATGACAGGGTAGAATTTCTAACAAGTGGAAAACCAAGACCAAACTCTAAAAGCCATCTTCAGAAACCTACTGGCATCCCTTTAGATTGTACCTTGGTGAGCCATGTTTTTTTCTGTTTAATGTCTGTACTGATTAGCCTCATGCTTTGGATTTTTCCATTTGTATCTTTTGTTCTAATTCACACACCTCAGCCAGCTTTCAAAATGTAGATAATGTCCCCAAAGTTCTGTCCTCCTTTCTCTCATTCCCCCTCATGATTCAACAATAATCTTAAAAAAAAAAAAAAAAAAAAAAAAAGATTCCTAAAGCGATAGACCTTTCACTGAGCATAAGTGGAGACCTATATTTCAAGTTGCCCCGAAGTTTCTCTAAAAATAAATAGATTCCAAGATTAATCGGCATCTTCTCTGCTCAAATCTGCTATTCCCTCTCTCTCTTTCCTTACTATTCAGGTCTAAAATTTAAGAATCAGTTTGGATTGTTTTTTCCTCCTGCCCTGCGTGATAATAAATTATAAATTCCTGTGCTTTCAACCTCTACAAATTTTATTCAACTATTCATCAATGGTGTGCTGGAGCTGGAAAAGCCAATTGTTAAATTCTCAGAAATTTTACT